GGAGCCCACCAGCGGCCGAACGGTAAAATCGCTGAACACTGGTAGTTCGGTCCGAGGTTCGAATCCCGCCAACGGGCCGGCTACATGGGCGTTTTCGTGGTTTTCCCCATGTAACGTGTATACGAGCCAATTTCCCTTAGAAACTCCTCCACGAAGGCATCCCTCCCATTAGGCAGATAGGCCTAGTGTGCTTTGCCATAATTAAATAAACTAAACTAAAGTAACTAACTAAACTAAACTAAAGTAAACAAAGGAAGTATTGTAATCCCTAAAAATTTCGAGTATCAAATTTCAAAGGAAATATCCATTTTGATCTTTCCCAAATCTATTTAAACGATTTTGTAGCTTGACGTCTGTACATATGGACACAATATAGGACCCTTTTTTTTCCAAAACGGAGTGTAATATGGATTTAAAACGGAGTTTTTGTGACTTCTGTACATATGTAGCTAGCGTAACTCAAAAGCAATTATCCGGAGAATGTTGAAATTTTGGATATGGGACTGCTACAACATCTAGTTACGCACCTCTGTTTTGTATTGCAATCGACGGTGCCAAACATATATATATATGTTAAATATAAAATATCTACCTTTCAAAATTTTTCAAATATTAAATAAATAAATAATAGCCCTTTAACTCCTGTCTTCATTCTAAAAATAACAGAACAATAATAATTTTTCTAACTAAACGAAAAAGATCCATCATATAATCTACATTGAGCACTTATCGATGAAATCTGAACCCGACATCTGGACTTTAATGTCGTGTGATCTCAAATGGAAATTCGGTATAAAAAGTTCATTGCGTCGCAACCGCCTCCCCTTCTTCGCTTTTCACTTCTGCTTCTAGACGCTTGTGTCTCGCCTTGCCGCTAGCCACGCAGAGTTTACTTTACTAAATGCCATACATTCTGTAAGAAATGTAAGCTGTATAAAACTGTGGGGTGCATAGCGCACCCATATTGATGATGTGAATTATCCAGGAATGAAATTATGTGTGTTCTTCAAGTGTCATCTTGCTAGCTTCGCAGTTATAATGCCGAGAACCACCGCCAATCCATTGCAACTCACTTTCCACAAAGTTATCTTATTACAATAATGCTGCAGTCCTATTTCAATAATGGCACAGTTATATCGCACACACAAACACACCTACACACACACACACACACACACATATATATATATATATATATGATGTACCAGCTGTTGTCCGGAATAAATAAATTGGTGAAGAATCATAGATGTAGTCGAATGCTCTAAGTATCAGACGATAAATTTAAAAAACAGGATCCATTTATTATTATTCAGGAGAAATAGCAATTACAAAAAATCAGATCTCCGGAGTAAATAAAAAGAATTACTATGTAAATAAAAAGAAATACTATTTGTATGAAGTTTACTGCATCGTTACAAAAAAGACCAAGATATTCTTTTGCGAATCCTTTTATAGCCTCTGGAAAGGCGAAGCTTCCAAGAAATGACGTCAGCCTCGTCAGCCATTCCAATTCGCTTTAAATATCTCGAGAACATTCTATAACTGTAGGTGTAGAAAAGGCGGGAAAAACAACTTGACTACGGGGCTGTGCATTTAATTCCAAGTACTTTCAAATAAGAGACCGTCGCCATTAAAAATGAAAAGAACATACAGTTAGAATATTAAGATATTAAGTGTATTTTTTACTATGGAATTTTATTATTACGTATATATATACATATATGAAATATTTTCCAGCAGTCGTGATACTTGGCATCAAAGTTCAGGCATTTCTGTAGCAGAGTGTTAAGGCATTATCCAAAGAAGACACAAGATTTCACTTTTTATTATTTCATATTGTTACTTTGATTTCAGAAGCAGATCAATATTCGTTACTAAATAAGATTACTTTAAATTTATTGCGTCATAGAGGTGTGGTGTGGTGTATTTAATTATGGCAAAGCACACTAGGGCTATCTGCCTAAGAGGAGGGATGCCTTTCGTGGAGGACTTTCTAAGGGAAACTGGCTCGTATACACGTTACACATGGGGAAAAAACCACGAAAACACCCATGCAGCCAGCCCGTTCGCGGGATTCGAACCTCGGACCGAACTACCAGTGTTCAGCGACTTTACCGCTCGGCCGCTGGTGGGCCGTCATAGAGGAAAGGAAGATGGGAGCAGCAGTGTAGGTTTTAACAGCACAGGGAGAGGGAAGCTTCTGTTGTTTTGTGTCAAAATGGCGCGAGCTCTTTATTTATACTAGCGGTTACGTAATAAGCTGGCATGTTCTAGAAGGTACTGGTCTAGGGGAAAGATCCTGAATTGCAGAAAGTTAATTAAAGGTTGCTGGTTCCCCAAAGAGCAAAAGTCATAGTATTTTTTATATTTGACACATATATAGCTGGAGTCGAATGTCATTGTAAAATTTCCCCTGAACAGCCAATAATGAAATTCGAATTGGGCTGATCTACCATTTACCGCTTTTTTTTGTTTCTGTTTTGTTGCTTAAGTCTTATGTCACACTTTTATTCTATTGTTTAAAGTTTGGCTTGCCTTGATCAACATATTACTTGCAATTAGATTTGAATTTTATTTGTTAATATTCTAGCGATAATATTGTTTATTTAATGTTTACACTTTTCATTGCACTTTATTTTACTTACGTTAAAACTTTTTCACCTGAATCACAGTATCTAAGCTACTTTTTAGCGAAAGCACTAAAAATTTTCTTTTAACTTATCCTTTCCCTTATCCTGCCTTTATTTTCGTTGATAGTAGTCATATCTTTCTAATTACAAAATGGTTTTTACCCTTTCCAGCACACTACATTTTAAAGTCGGAGTTTTGATTTAAAAAAAAAGGTAGGCAGTCTAATTAGGTCTAGAGGAGTACACAAGTAAAATTTTGTGAAGATAGCACTTATCGTTTTAATTCTGTGGGTGTGCCCAAAGTGGCACACTGATTGAATAGAACTTCGAAAACAGTGCTGAAACGAGCATTGTTGTCAATGAACTGACCGATGAGATGCGGAGAAACAAAGAATACAGACTCTCAGTTGTCCTACTTACGTTAAAAATTTTTCACCGTGAGCCCGGTCTGGGCACACCTAGCGTTCGCCGTTTTATTTTAGGCAAGATTTCAGGGTAAAAATTTAAAACTAATATAGAATAAGGAGATTAGCATGCAGGCAAAAAAATAACATACAAATTTCTTTTCAAATAATTCGTTTTATACCCTAAAACAAAGTCTGGAAGATTTCTTTGAAAACTGAGAGTCTTAAAAAACTAAACATGGCTAAAATATATGGACTGGTTTGTGTTGAGCTGCCATCTACTATAAATAAAGAAGGTTCAAAGAAACCTACTATAAATCCTTTTTCATTCAATTTTTCTGTGCGTACAAAAAGAAATTTTTAGGTGTGTCCAGATCGAACACACTGTGCCACAAAGGGTTAAACGACGAATATATTCCTGTTTCGGTAATGTCAAATTTTTTTAAAAAATTTAATTTTCGACAAATAGCGAAATCTAACTTTTAGTGAGGTCTCCCGGTATTTAATGCCAAGACCGGTAGCGATGCCTAACGATTAATGCGGTCTGTTATATTTGGGAAAGTTGTATACTTATTGTTAAAACATAAAATTATAAGAAGTTTGACTCTCATACGACAAATGTCGAGCTTGATGTTTAATTTAAGAATTTGAATTCTTTATGTGATTTTCAACTTACTTGGAAGGATTAATTAATTAAGTTTACAATAATTCGAAGAAATTAATTTAAATTAAGTGCAGCAAAACATTTGCTTAATTTAATATGCTGTATAAGGAAGTCATGCGGCAGTGTCCACATCAGATTGTCTTTTACGTATATGTGTGTGTATGTTAGTGCGTGCATTATCATTTAATCATCAGACTATCAACAAATCCTAAAACGCTTTTTAAGGTAACAACATAAACTGCAACTGAATTCCGTGTGGTACATTAGTCGTAATATGGTAGGTAACATTAGTCGGAATATTCATTCATTGAAACATTCATTCGTGTGATACATTACTCATAATGCTCATTCACCTGAACATTCATTCGTGTGATAAACACATTCATTCGTGTCATAACATTAATCGTTATGCTCATTCATGATAGCATTCATTCCTATGATACATTACTCATAATACTCATTCATTGAAGCATTCATTCGTGTGATACTTTACTCGTAATAGCCATTCATTGAAACATTCTTTCGTGTGATAAACACATTCATTCTTGGGATACATGATACAGTAGCCATTTTATTGAAAGATTTTGTCATTGACATTCATTCTGAAACTTCCACAATTTTTAAAATCTTGTATGAGCTAATTTTGGATCACCCTGCCTATTTCAGTTGACATTCAATTAAATTATGTTAGTAAAAACAACTCCCAAATTCTAGGTCCATAGACAGTTTTGTTTTACGCTGGTGATGCTTTACACTAGACTTTTCATCGTTTTGTTATAAACAAATTTAATTTATTTTAGACAGGAAACACCAAGTTAACGCCTGGTTCGACAGTTGGTTGCAGTTCATACGAATACTGTATTTTTCAAGAATAAAGTGTAGAGATATTAGGTTATTTTGAAGCAGAAGACGTGAAAAATGAGCAACGCCCTCACCGGGACTCGAACCTGAAACTCTCGAATACGTGCCGAGTGTGCTAACTCTTCAACCACGAAGGGATGGAGATTGAAAGGAGAAAATACCTTTTATATATATATGTGTGTGTGTGTGTGTAATAACAAAACTCCATAATCAAGAATACACTTAAAATTCTAACTGTATGTTCTTTTCATTTTTAGTGGCGACGTTCTCTTATTTGAAAGTACGTGGAATTAAATCCACAGCCCCGTAGTCAAGTTAATTCGTTGTGGTTCAATGTTAATTTTACCTACGTCATATTTGTTTTTTTGAAAACACATCTTATTTATTTAACAATTTTAATTAATTCAGGGTTTTCTTCCTCCATACTCGCTGAATCTGTTGTTAATTCACTACTTTGTTTTTTTCTGAGGATGGATCTAATTTCTTCCAACTGTATGATTCATAATCAATTTGCCAGTCTTCAGAAAGCTTGAAAGCCAACTCATGTCCACGCCACAAACAAATACCTGAAATGCTGCTATTGTTGTCTTCACCAAACAGGAGGACACTTCCAAAAGCATTCGTTCTTAATTTATCTAGTCTCTGGAACATACCTGAAATAAGATTACATCTTATGAAAACAAGAGTGAGTTCTTGAGGATAGAGATATTCACAACACCAAATCGAATAATTCTCAGGATCAAACTTCTCCAAAAAGTACTTCACAGATACACTTTCATCTTCATTACTGTAAACTCGCTTGAATTCATCCATGTTGAATGTCCCCTTAGGAAACTGTTCAAAGGGATCCTTGGATTTGGGTTCTTGAGCTAAGACTAATTCAGTCTCATCAGGTTCATCAGCAACTTCTTTTTTAGATTTCTGCTCCTTTTTCTTTTTTTCCTCTTTGGGCTTCTGAGGTTTTTCTTCTTTTCCTTTGGCTGGTTTATTTTTACCTAACTGTTGTTGAACCTCTGCATATTTTTTAGCATCAAATTGTGCCATTTTTTCACACATATATATATATATATCATGTAAAATAGTTTTATAAGAATAAATTGAATTTAGTTAAAAAATTAAATTTAAATATAATTTAATTAATATTCTTTGCGCCATTGCTGCAAGGAATGAAATTTAAATTTAAACAAATTAAAATTTAATTTTTTTAACAAACACGTATAAAAGTAAAAAAGCAAATTTAAATCCTAAAAAAAATAATAATAATTTTTAAAAAAATTTAAAAAAATGTGCAAACATATAAAAGATTAATTCTCGAACTAATTACAATATCATTTAAATTCAGAAGCATAAGCAAATCAAGTGCAAAAAATCAATCCATGAAAATAAATTCACTCATTTAGCAAATTAAAATTAAACTAAATAATTTTTTTTTAAATGCATAAGTGAATGACCGTTGAGTAGGCAGGAGACAGACTTATCAAGGGGAATTGCCTCCAAACCTAACTCTCCAATCATTCATTCGTGTTTCGTCATTCATGTAGGCAAGGGCAAAAGTCAAAATCCAAAAGTAATACCAATAAAGTGGTACCCCTAGAAATTAACATTCAAGAATTAACATTTGAGAATTAAATTTAAGAATAAAGTTCTAAAAGGAAAATACTAATGAAGTCTTTTGAGAAACAAGCAAGTAAAGTCAAGAATTAAATGAAACTTTTTTTTAATTAAATTTTTTATAAAATTAATTCCCTATAAAAAGTCTAGAAACCAATGTATTTTAGAAACCCTTGTCTACAGAAAACCTCCCCGACACGAATATGCATATCAATGCATATTATGAATATGCTCAATGCATATTATGAATATGCATATGCATATCATGTAATATATATATATATATATATATATATAATATGAGGCCACTGCCCCCAATGTATTACTATACTCCCCCCTCTTAAAGGACGATGGGGGATGGATTAAGAGACTTAATCGCCACATTCTAAAGGAGAAGAATTCCTATCCCCCACCTTTTTATTTAGTTCGAGCGCCACAGTAGAGACATTAGTTTATTTTGAAAAAGAAGACATGAAAAACGAGCTATGCCCTCGCCGGGACTCGGACTGGATTTCTGCGCGCCCAGTGTGCCAACCGTTACACCACGAAGGCATGCAGAAAGGAGGGAGAAAATACCTTATGCTTTAGGTATTAGGATTTATTTAGTAACTATATATTGTTTAGAAAATTTGCAAGAGATATTATGCGAACTGTGAATGAGAGTAAGAAGAATATTGGTATCGAGATATAACAAAGCAGAAAATCATACTGAAAGCAGAAATAATTGAAGTAACTTAATTTAAGATGAATTTTGTTCATATAAAGAAGATTTGACTAATAATAATAACTAACTGAAAGTAAAACTTATAAAGATTTTAAACTTATGTAAAAACACAGAAAGGGAAACAACACACTTATACACTATTTCACCGAGAGTGTTTGGAATGTATGTATCTGTTTTGGGTGTTTTTTTTTGTGTGTGTATGTGTGTGTGTGTTATGCTTTGTGGCTTGGTCTGTCCCCTCATAGCCATATCCCCTTCGCGCCGACTGTCACGTATACGTGCCAGAGCATTTTCCAGTTTACTACCGACTGTCACGTATTTGTGCCAGTACCCTGGAACGTTTTAGAAACTATAATTTCTCCCACAAGATGGCACTGTATGTCCATATGGTTTCAGATACGTGTACATTAGACCTTCTACTCGAAATGAGAGAAGCATGACTCACATACACGTGTTTTTGATTATATAAACAAACGGGGAACTAAATGTTTCCCGTTTTAAAATGTTGTTTTTGATTATATAAACAAACGGGGAACTAAATGGCGTGATTTATGACGTCTCTTTAAATCGCACGTGGTAGTTGTTTATTGTAAGTAGAAGTTTTATATGCGCTAACGCGTTGAGTATTTCGGTTTACAGTTCAGTTTTTAGAAAATAATAAGATCTTGTTAGACGTGAATTCTTTCTGTTTTTACCGTTGCAATGTCGAAGCGTCTAAAATGTTTAACAGAGCATGAAATAACAGAAATGATGCGAAATATTTTAGATATTGATTCTGAAATTCTGATATTCTGATACTGATTCTGAAAGATTAACTGAAAGACATTTTCCAAAACTTTGTTCAGAAGAGACTGATAAGAAAATGAGACGACGATGCTTCGTTTGTTCACATTCCCGGAAAAATCCTCCAAAACGGCAAATGAGTTATTACGAGTTCAAGGAATGTAACGTAGGACTGTGTGTAGATCCCTGTTTTCAAATTTTTCATACGAAAAGAGAATTTTAAGTAATATATTTAGTTTTCAGATGTATAATGTTAAAATTCATAAAATGGTGAGTAATTAAAATAAAATGTGTAAAATATGCATTTAAACAAGAAATAAGGTAATTAAAGTATATATATAAAAATATTTATAAAGCATAAGCCGTTTAAATACTCTATAGAGCATTATTAAACAATGCGTTGATACTTCGGAAATTTCATGGATTTAGGCTTAGTAGCAAAGAAGCCCCCGGCCCTGGAGAGACGCTCGCGGAAGACACTGCCGGCCTCCGCGATAAGCGCGCGTTTTCGCTACCCGGCTCGAAGGGGATATGGCAGGTTTCGCCTGCTAGGTGGGCTGGGGGCAGTGCTTAGAACGAACTAACTAACTATCCTCATGCTTCATTGAAACTGCTTTTTTCCTTTATTCTGAAACATTTTCATCTAGCCGGATCCTTCCCACCCAGTTCAGATCCTCAACATTGCTAACATGGAAAAAAACAAACAAAAGGTCAAGAGCATATTTTTCAACAACTTTTCTGTTCTAATTTCTCCTTCGCTTATGTATAGTACATTCCAGAATTCGAAGCACTTTACAGCATCAAAGTCGCGTTAGCATCCGTAAAGACACTTACTAGGAGTACAACAGCGAGGGAGGGAGAAGCTTGAGATTTCAAGTATCCAGATAACACGCGTCGACAACTTCCTCGCCCTATAAGGGTCTGCTTGTGAGTATAAAGTGGTTATTAGTAACTCTTATCGAGGGGCAGCAGGCTGCGAAATCGCTTTTCGAGCCGTCATTATGTATGTTCATAAACAGACGAAGGTGGGCGTTAAAGATAATGGTATCGAGAAAATGCTCTTGTCAGATTGTATCGTATAACAACACGTCAGCGTTATGAGAAGCACAGGTGAGAAGGGATCCATCTCTGATATAAGAACGTAAAAACAAAAATCTGATGCCCCCACCACATGATTCCTTGAACGGAATATTAACCCGGCGGAAGTCGCACCAAGAAAAGTTACTAGAACGGGCGCGTGGGGTATCACATACCCCAATATTTAAAATACAATAAAAATAGCATTATTAAGTTTTAAAACTTTTTTTTTGTTCTCGTGTATTATAAATAAGTGAATAATAATTGGGTTTCAAAAAATTAATTTCCGAAATAATCTTAGAGTTAAAATTACGATAAATGAAAATAATAAACATCATGCCTCTAAGTTTAATTGCATCTCTAATACACCATGCTTGCTTTTTTTTTATTTCTTCACACTTTGAACGAAATACATTCATGTGTTCTTGGCACAGAATGCTTTCACATTTTAAACATTGCATTCACGTTCTTCTGTCCTTGGCGCGAGGGCAAAAGATTTAACACATCTTTCATACTTAGTTGTTTCTAATTTCATGCATTCGTTTTAATTCTTCCTCGAAACTTCTGCTTTTGTTTTGCATACAGTACTTCAATTTCTTGGAAAAGTATTAATCTCTGATCTTTGTTCAATACCTTTTTTCATTAATTGTAATGCTAAGTCCTTCAAAAACAGACTTCTGTTTCTTGTTGGTGGATTAGCAATTGAATGTAATATAATTCAAGCATTTATTACAGCAACATTCAGTGCAGGAAAGAAAATTACCATTGGCCACCTTCTCGTTATTCTGGCAATTGAATAATTGGCTGACATTTCGTTATCCCCATATCCACTGCTCCTTTAGTCATATTATTAAAACATATAATTCCTAACGTTTTATTTTCTCCAATAGTATCATCTGTACTATAATCGTTATATAATATTATAATGTTATAATGATCGTTATATAAAGCATAAGAACAGTTTCTCCTTTTTTAGGACCATCAGGAATTAATGTTTTATCTTTTTCGAAACCAAAACATTGTAGAAAATATTCTTAGTTTCATCTTCAGTTTCCGAAATGCAATCTTCATCGCTTTCAAATATTTCTAATAAATCTCGCATGCGTTGCATCTCCAGTTCATAGGGACTCATTCTTTTTACCATAATGCAGTTAGAAATTTTTAAGAATTTAATGTCAAGTACTTTAAAATCACTTGCGAGTAGAAATATTTACTGTTACACTCTAGAAATAAATTTCTGAACTAACATATTCAGTCAGAAAAACACTTACACGCGGACAGGCGCGTGGGGTGTGTCATACCCAGTTCCAACAAAATACCGATAAATCTTTTTCTGAAACACACAGGCAAAGAAAAAGCGGTTCTGAAAGTCAACCACAACTAGAAACTCAGCTACTGAAAGCAGCACAGAATTTCAGTTTCACAAGTTAGGAATATTCCACTTTTATGTAGGGTTGGGGTATGATACACCCCACGCGCCTTCCCGCGGGTTAAATCATACGCATTTTTTGCTGCATTTCATTTGAACTTATTTCCTCGAATTTCATTACAGATGGATTTCTCATTCAATTAATTCAGTTCTCACTTCGTGAAAAGACAAAAATGCATAAAACCTAAAAATATCTTCATTTAAAAAGTTAAAAAATATAGAAAAATATAAAACAGCAAACACAATTAAAACAATTAACCCTTTGTTGCATACAAATAATCTAGAGAAGTTAAACGAAAATGTTTGTATTTTTTCTACTTAAAATAACCTTAGTAATAATAAAAAAAATTAATCGTATTCAAATTTCGTTTTAAATAATGGTTGCAGTTTATTCACTACAGTGGACAGCATGCATATATGTACATGCATACAAATCCCTTCCCAACGATTAACGGTCAT